GCACTTGGTTCATCACACCCTGATAAATTATAGTAAAACAGATGGCACAGGTATATAAAAGCATGTGTGACTGATAATTAAGGCACAATGGAACTGGTAAGTTAGAAAGGCGGCATCAATTTGATGATGTACAACCAAATTACTAGTGATAAAATTAGCATTCACACATGTTCATTAATAATCACAAAAATGATGTCGGTAAGCACACAAAAAACAACCAGACCATTGAATAAGAAATGAGCATTGTGCTGCATGTAGTTAGACTAGAAAACTACTGGTAACTACAGAAACATGACAATGGTAAGTGTAATACCATCATCATGATAATTTAACCATAACAAAACAACACCGATAATAGCAGTGTTTCAGCATCTGGTAATTTGAGTGCAGTATCATTGGTAAGTTCAATATAGACTTCATGATAATTAAACAGAACAAAACATCACAAAGAAATTCAAAACATTGTAAACATGCTAATTGGAGCACCACAAAGCCTAATCGATAGACAGACCGCATCAAACAAAACCAACATAAACAACATTTTGTGAAAAAACTTAGGGTTACTTTTCAAAACCTGAGCCACTAATGCACAATTTAAAATCCATAAACACCAAACACTGTTGGATGTCCTAAAAATCCACATCCACAACCCTAACACGAGACAAAAATCCTTATCAGAACCGACCAGGCTTATCACCACGAAGACCTATCCACACCAACCGGCCAAATAAATTACAACAAATTGAACCAGATTTCCGAGACATATTCAACTGGAACTAGAAGGAGACCTAATCTAACCTAATAGGAACAACAACCGGCCAGAATCGAAGGGTCCGAAAACCAAAAATCAACGGCAAAGCATGCAGGCGGAGCAACAGGAATCCAGAGCGGGGGCGGGTGTGGGGGTGGGGGAAGGGGGATGCGCTGCTTAGCGCCGATTCAGAAACTAGAAGCCGGCCTTAATCTAACCTAATGGGAACAACAAACCACCGGATTCGAAGGCTCCGTCCAGCGTAAATCAATGGCGGACCACCGAGAACGTATGAGCAGAGCAAAACAGGAAGGAAACAGGGGTGGGGAATGCATTCCTCACCGCAGATTCAGAGCCGTCCGCCGCGAACCGGACGCGCCACCACCAGGAACAGTCGCGGACGAGGGGGAGGCGGAGCGAGAGGGGATTCGAATGGAAACGGCGGCAACAGAGGGGGAAGAAGTAACGCGGGCGAGGAGGGAGAGGGGGCGAGTGGGGATCGTGCCCATTGGTCGATACGGGCGGTTTCCTGGGGGGGGGGGGCACTTGTCATCAACAGAGAAACGACGTAACGGCTACAGCCACGCACGCTGCGCGCAACACGGACGACGAGCGACGTTCGATGCGGATCGAACGGCTATTGCGTCGTACGCGCCTGCTCCTAAATTCATGTCGACTGGTATTTAGCTTTCTTGTTATTTAAATGATGCAAACATATGAAGCATATTGCTTACTTCTCTTCTTTTTTGCGGCAAGATTCCTTACTCATCCTGAGGACATCTCTTGAGGTTAACCGTGCCGAAGTCTCTGGAAGTCTGCTGCATAGTCCAAAAATAAACAAATTCAGAGAACAAACGATCTTCTTCTGTCATGATATTATTTCTCAAGGCGGTTGGGTGGTACCTAGAGTGTGCGATGCTCTCCCCAGGCACCTGAAAAGAGGTGTTCCTCTGCCTGCCTGCCTTGTTGCCGCCTGCAACAAAATTCACATGTATGACCAGCAGTGTTCCCAGCTTCCATTCATGTTGTTAAATATTTGCTCCCATTTCACGTAGGAAGGTCTTGTCTTCAGGATTCCACTTCGGATCCAAGGAGCTGAGAAAACTACACTGGTAGAAAAAAACAAAAACCACTAGGCCAAGATTATGTATGATACTAGTAGTTGGGATTTAATCCTCTGCTCACTGTGGCAAGTGTTCAAGCTGACAAATGAATGGTCAGCTCTTTATGGATAAAAAACTGTTGCAGATATGGGTCACGTGTTACAAGCTTCTGTGATCCAAGTCAGATCATAAAAGCAAATTTTCAGTCTGTGAAAACCCCCATTCAACCGGGTTAACAGTTTCAGGAAATCGCATGTCCACCAAGCAACCCTTCAATAGATATCATGATCCCTACAACACTCTGATTATCTCTGTCTATATTAAGATGTCTGGTGTATTTGACTGCATAATGCCCCAATCAGGAAACTATTGTGTACAACACTTAGTATCTTCACCTGTTTTGCTAGTCACCTTGAATGGAAAGAAGTGGGTGCGCTTTATCAAAAAAGGCTTTCGCCCCGCTTTATATATAAAACATCAAACCACAAGCATCCAGTACAACCACAGGCCACGCCACCGCAACACACGCACACACCCAAGACAGGATACATAGGCAGCGACACCCCTCCTAGCACTACCACCCCGAAGATATGAAGCTACATATGACGAACCATGCGCTCCAAGGCGGCGCCTTCAGGAAGTATACGACGCCGAAGCGCCGCCACCGCCCGATCCAAGGATCAGAGTTTCCCCCGGAGCCGCATGACGGGCAATGAGAGCCGCGACGACGCCTTCAAGAAGGGCACGATCTTCGCCGCCGCCGGTCCGTCCGAATATAGAGCAGGTTTTCACCTCGGCCAACAATCACCGCCACCGAACGCCACACCCCGGCAACCACGCAGCCCACACGACCATGATGACCGGGCAGCACCAAGGCACGGGCTTTGTCCAAGAGCACCACGCAACCACCACCACCAGGACCGCCGCCCCAACATCCAAGACCTCGACACCACCTCACCCGTGACCCGCCGCACCCCAACAAAAGAGACGAGCGGAAAGGTACCACCTTTCGTGCCCCTGGGCGACCCCCAGCGTCGAGACCCAATAGGTCGGCCAGAACTGTCATCCATCGACCCATCCTGCTGCCCCAAGCTCGAGATGAGCTCGGTCCTGCAGCAACTAGAGGTGGACGAGGTCAGTCCTACTGCATCGTGCGCGAGACGAGCTCGGTCCTGCTGCATCGTGCGCGAGACGAGCTCCGTCCTGCGGCAATGGGCGCGAGACGAGCGGTGGACCGCAGCTGGGAGAGGACCAACCCTTTGATGGGAGTAGCGTCCGGGCGACAACGAGATGGGGTGAAAATCGAGACGGCCCGAATGCAGACAAACCGACGCCGGAGAAGCCGACCGTTGCCGTGGACAGATCCATCGAGCCATCGTGAAGCCGCCACGACACCGGAAGGCCACCGAGACCTGCCCATGCCGCCGCCGACGGCCGGAGCAGCAGCCACGCCCGGGCACACGCACCACCGGAGCCACCGCCACTGCGTCGCCGCCCTGACCAGCCGAGGGGGCCTCGGTCAGGGCCTCCGCCCGCAGCCCTAGCCATCGCAGCCCGCGCCGCCGAGAGGCCAGATCCGGAAAAGCCGCCGCGGCTGCCGACTCCGACCTCCAGCACGCACCACCACCACCATCTGCCGCGGTGCCACCACCACCTGCCGCGGCCACGGCAGAGGAGGCCACTGGCAGCCCGTGCCGCCCGTAGCCCGCGCCGCCATGAGCCAGATCTGGCCGCGTAGGAGCCGCCGCCGTCTCGGGAACAGGCGCGCCACCCGCCTAGCCCCCCGCCGCGGGGGGAGGAAGGGACGACATGGAGCCGCCCCAGCCAGCCGTGCCGCCATGGAGCCCGGCCGCAGCTCCATGACCCGGCCCGGGGCGCCGGTCCGCGCCAGCAACGCCCGAGCGGGGAGACAAAGGGGCCCTGCCGCCGACGGCAGCAGCAGGGCTTCGCCCGGCTGCGCCCCTGGGCGGCGGCGAGGGAGGGGGAGGGGGAGGACGGAGCGGCGGCGAGGGTTGGGGTTGGCCTCCTGCCGCCTCACGGGAGACGACGCGGAGGGAGGGGGGAGCTCTCTGGGGGGTGCGCTTTTGGGCCATGAAGCTGGGACTCAATCCTCTGCTCACTGTGGCAAATGTTAACACTGACAAACAAATGGTCAGCTCTTTGTGGATATAAAACTTCTTAGTCAATCCAAGCCAAGTTTAAAATAAACCATATAATTAGTTCTGGAGCAGCTCGGAGCTTTTCTTGGAACAAAATGGCATTCTTGGGTAACCATATAATTTGCTGTTTTCAGTTCATATTGTCCATTGTCATTCCATAGTCTCAAAAGTAATAGTTCAAGAATCAGGTATCAGCACATCACAAACATATACAGAAACAACACTGGTTGAGCCGACTCAAACAGGGTAGCTACTCAGCCAAACCAATCAACACAGCGGACGTGAATCAACCACACCAAAAGGCCTCTGGTGGACATTCAGCTGTTTTGACAGACATATATCGTGCATGCGCATGAAGCTGCATCTCTACAAAATTGTTGTTACCATTTACCACTGTAGTATAAACTCTGGTCTTTCACCTGCGCGCTGCTATTTGTATAATTGAACGTACTCCAATTTTACTAATTGACATTGATGCAATTTCTCTGTGAATAACAGATCCAAAGCTCTATTGGATTCACTAGCTACAGCAAACATACAAAAAAAAAACTTGCTCAAAGGCAGTGTTTTACCAAAATACTGAATGAATAAGGTCAACTAAACTTCACACCAGTAACCAGTCTGAACAGTTTAGAACACTGGCTGACAATCTGCACTAAGATTTAGGATAATCATAATAGCTGACTGTTATGGACAAGAAGGCTGATTACAGTATAATTAAGCCCTGTGGAACTAATACATGTCCAGAACAACAGCCAGCCAGTGCTAGGTAAACAAGAACAAGAGTAACAATGTCCTTCGGAAATGACACTATACTTAATCTGTAGGTTTAGTAGGCATTTGCTCTGAACTGCAAATCAAGCAAACAGGAGTGTGAGCACCAGTTAAATTAGTGGCAAGCAGATTCCAAAGTACTAAGACAAATACTTCAGCCGACAGAGGAGTCAATTCTTGCGCAAGGGTGTTTTGAACTTTGAAGGTAAGAAACTACTGCCCATCTGCATCTGCTAATGGCTCTGAGAAGAGAGGGACATAGGGTAGAAATCGTTGTGTGCTGTTCCTGTTCTCAAGATTAAGAATACAACCAACTTTTTGATGTCGCATATCGTACGCTGCCAAGGTAGCACCTCCATATGAAAACAAGAAAATGGTGTCGCAATCTGGATGAATCCCAACAACCCTGTACTTCCAAGGTAGCACCTCCAGAAGCATATCCATGCTGGCGGTATGCTTCAGGACGAATTCTTTACTGTTACAATCCTTGAGGCACCAAAGTGTTATCTCAGGAACTCGGCTTTCATTGGTAGCTACAGCATAGTGTAAGCATCCCTGCGACAATCCAATCATACAAACTCTCGAACAGTACGGCACACGGATAGTCTTCCACTCTTTCCCCTCCACGTCCACCCCCACCACCACATACTCGTTGCCGGTGTTGATGTCCTCCAGCTCGCCAATCACATACATGATACCGCCGACAAAGACACATTTACTCCTGAAGAACGGCGCCGCTTTCTCAGCCATCCTACTATCCTCGCGACTCCAGGCTCCTGTCCGAGACGAGTAGATGCTCACTCCTGTCATATAATTTGCCAGATAGTCCTCCTCGAAATGAAGAACATGGAAATGCGACGAGACTACCGGATCAAAAGCCAGAGCCGCAGTATAGCTATATCTGATTGCCGGTGCCGAAGGCTTAGGGGGCAGCTCGAGCCACTTACCAGTGGCGGGATTGCACACCACAAAACGGCAGTCATCCTCTGCCCAATCCCAAGGGGCCGCCTTCTTGGTGCAGCCGCGGTAGAGAACGTGACCATTGCAAGTGTCCACCTGGGCCATGTCCTTGTACTTGTTAAGCTGCAGGTAAGGAAGGGAAGGGTCGAACGGTGCTGCGCCGCCGGAGACGCTGGCGAAGTGGTGGCGATACCCGCTGCCGCAGAAGGACGTGTAGAGGAAGCCGGCAAGGGTTTGGGGCATCTTCTTGCGGTTGGCGGGGTCAGCGATGAGGTCGCGCCAGAGTATGGAGACACACTTGAAGCGGTGGACGGATCTAGCGGGGATGCGGGAGAGGATCTCGAGGATGAGGTCCTCAGTCAACAGCGCGGCCGCCTCCGCCGTCGCTGCCGGATGGCTGCACAGCCCCGACTTGGTCTTCTTCTCGAGACTCCTCTTCTTCTCCGTCTCTGCCTCCATGGAGCTGAATCCGGAGGGAGTAGGCAGGGGACACCGGGACAGCGATCTGCAAAAGGAGGGAGGAAATCCGCGATCTGTCTAGGAAATCATCGACCATGTAGGTAGTCGGTGGTGGCGATCTTCGCCGTGATGAGTCCGGAAAGGTACCTTAGTTTAGGGCGGCTACGGGGGAAGGGGACGCGGCCAGCGGCTCTTCGCTTCGATGACGTCGCTATTATTCTATTTTTATTTTTCGAGACTTGGATGGGATAGAATCGTAGTCTTACAAAATTACGTAAAATATACTCTTTTAAACCAAGCTCGCCTGTAACGTAACAAGATAGTGGCCCACGCATAATTGGCATGCTTTTTGGTTTTTTACTAATTAGATATATTATCCTGCTCAAGAAGAATAATACTTCCTCTACCTTGGATTTATAAATTATCTCTTTTTTCAGAAAAAATATCCAAACTATTCATCTACAATTATAGCAGTACAACACACATAAAAAATAAGGACGCCGGTAACGCCCACACATGTGGGCGTTAAGGGATCTGGCCACACGTTTTGTGTGGTGTGTAAGAGGACCAGCCCACACACCTACGTGTGGGCAAAACAACTAGCGCCCACACGCCTCTTTTCCCCTCGCGTTCCCTCTCACACGCGTACGTGTGGGCAAAATGGATAAGCCCACATGATCTCTCTCAGCCACCTACCTCACGGTCCCGCACGCCCAGCGTGACAATCATCACGCGTTCCCGCAGTTCTCATGGTTCGGACCCTCTTCAATGTCCGTTTAACTGCAGTTGCCATGTCGCTAAACTACAGTTGTCTTGTCAGACAACTACAGTTGCCATGTCGGACAACTACAGTTGCTATGGTTGCTCAACTGCAGTTGCCATCTCAGATCAAGTGCCAGATGCCATTTTGGACAACTGCTATTGTTGCCATGTATGGTCTGGTTTACTGTAGTTGCCATGATTTGAAAACTTTAGGGGTTGCCACCTACTAACACTAGCCAGTTGTCATATATGGTCTAGTTTACTACAGTTGCCATGATTTAAACCATAGGAGTTTCCACCTACTAACACTAGGTAGTTGTCGTGTAGCGCTACAAAGAGACATGACAAAATAACATGTTTCGGGTAAAGAGAGAGTTGCCATCTGCATAAAAGCACACTAGGGCAGTTGTCGCGTACCCTGCAAAACACATGGCAACTGACATGTTTGGGTAAAAAAAGAGAGTTGACATCTGCTTACAAGCACACTAGGTAGTTGCCATGTATACTACAAAACACATGGCAACTGACAGCTTTGGGTGTGGGAGAGGAGACGGGCGTGCGGGCGAGATGGCAAATGCCCACACAACAGCCCTTGTGCGTGAGTGAAAACAGACGTGTGGGCAAACTGCTAAACGCCCATACACCGGTCCTCCCGTGTGGTGAAACGGACATGTGGGCGACTGGATGAATGCCCACACACCAGCGCAGCCCTATGTGGCACCACAAACATGCCAAGGTTCGTGCAACCACGAACGTGGATCCACGCGTGTGGGCGAGATGCAAACGCCCACACGTGTGGGCGAGATGCAAACGCCCACACGTGTGGGCGTTAGTATTTATAAGGCCTCATTGTCATGCTAGATGCTCACTCCTGTCATGTGATATGTCTCCAACGTATTTATAATTTTTGATTGTTCCATTCTGTTACATTACCTATTTTGGATGTTTATGGGCTTTATGATACGTCTCCAATGTATCTATAATTTTTGATTGTTACATGCTATTATATTACCCATTTTGGATGTTTATGGGGTTTACTTTACACTTTTATATCATTTTTGGGACTAACCTACTAACCGGAGGCCCAGCCCGAATTGTTGTTTTTTGCCTATTTCAGTGTTTCAAAGAAAAGGAATATCAAACGGAGTCTGAACGGAATGAAACCTTCGGGAGCGATCTTTTTGGAACAAACGTGATTCAGAGAACTTCGAGTGCAAGTCAAGAAACAGGCGAGGTGGCCATGAGGGTGCCCGGCGTGCCCCCTACAGGTGGGCGTGCCCCCCACACTCGTGGGCCCCTCGAGCGTCCACCGACGTACTCCTTACTCCTATATATACCCATGTACCCTGGAAACATCAGGGGAGCCACCGAAAAACTATTTCCACCACCGTAACCTTCTGTATCCGCGAGATCCCATCTTGGAGCCGTCGCCGGCGTTCTGCCGGAGGGGGAATCCACCACGGAGGTCCTCTACATCAACTCCAAGGCCTCTTCGATGAGTTGTGATTAGTTTACCAAAGACCTTCGGGTCCATAGTTATTAGCTAGATGGCTTCTTCTCTCTCTTTGATTCTCAATACAAAGTTCTCCTTCCTCTTCTTGGAGATCGATTCGATGTAACTCTTTTTGCGGTGTGTTTGTCGAGATCCAATGAATTGTGGGTTTATGATCAAGTTTATCAATGAGAAATATTTGAATCTCCTCTGAATTCTTTTATGTGTGATTAAGTTATCTTTGCAACTCTCTTCAAATTATCGGTTTGGTTTGGCCTACTAGATTGATCTTTCTTGCAATGGGAGAAGTGCTTAGGTTTGGGTTCAATCTTGCAGTGTCCTTTCCCAGTGACAGAAGGGGCAACAAGGCACGTATTGTATTGTTGTCATCGAGGATAAAAAGATGGGGTTTATATCATATTGCATGAGTTTATCCCTCTACTTCATGTCATCTTTCTTAATGTTTTACTATGTTCTTCATGAACTTAATACTCTAGATGCATGCTGGATAGCGGTCGATGTGTGGAGTAATAGTAGTAGATGCAGGCAGGAGTCGGTCAACTTGTCACGGACGTGATGCCTATATACATGATCATGCCTAGATAATCTCATAATTATTCGCTTTTCTATCAATTGCTCGACAGTAATTTGTTCACCCACCGTAATAATTATGCTATCTTGAGAGAAGCCACTAGTGAAACCTATGGCCCCCGGGCCTATCTCTTATCATATAAGCTTTCAATCTACTTTTATTTGCATCTTTACTTTTCCAATCTATATCATAAATACCAAAAATATATTTATCTTATCATATTATCTCTATAAGATCTCACTTTCGCAAGTGGCCTTGAAGGGAGTGACAACCCCTTTATTGCGTTGGTTGCGAGTTCTTTGTTTGTTTGTGTAGGTGCGTGGGACTTGTGAGGAGCCTCCTAATGGATTGATACCTTGGATCTCAAAAACTGAGGGAAATACTTGCGCTACTGTGCTGCATCACCCTTTCCTGTTCAAGGAAAACCAATGCAAGCTAAAGACGTAGCAAGAAGGATTTCTGGCGCCGTCGCCGGGGAGGTCTTCGCTCAATTCAAGACATACCAAGTACCCATCACAAACTCATCTCCCTCGCACTTACATTATTTGCCATTTGCCTCTCGTTTTCCTCTCCCCCCACTTCACCCTTTCCATTTTATTCGTCCTCTCTTTCCCACTATCTCCTCTCTCTTTCGCTTGCCGTTCGTGTGCCTTTCTGCCTTTATGGATTTGCCTAAAAGCGTTGATCTCCATCTTAAAAGCTTGGATGATATTGAATTAAACATTAGAATCTTTATGACCTTGCAATTTGAGCACAATAGTTTCTTTAGAAAAGAGCTTAAAGAACAAAAGAGCTTTATGGAATTTATGAATAAAGAGCTTGATGATATGTCTAAAGGGTTGTATGGTTTGAACTCTCAGATTGCTTGCCTTGAAAATTCTATTGGCCAAATTTCTGATAAGCAAGCCACCTTGGTCAATAAGATGGCTGCCAAACCAGAAGGGTTAGGAGAAAATAATGATGAAGATCTAAAAGTTATAGATGTGTCCCCTATTAAATCTTTATTTTGCAATATGAATCTTGATAATGATGGGACTGGAAGTGAATCCACTTTGGTTAAAAAGCGTTCCAATAATTTGGAGTATTTTGATCTTAATGCTAAATTTGGTAAAAGTGGAATTGGAGAAATTAAAACTTTAAATAGCATTGAACCCACTATCTTGGATTTCAAGGAATTTAATTATGATAATTGTTCTTTAGTAGATTATATTTCCTTGTTGCAATCCGTGTTGAATTCTCCTCATGCTTATAGTCAAAATAAAACCTTTACCAAACATATTGTTGATGCCTTGATGCAATATTATGATGAAAAACTTAATTTGGAAGTTTCAATACCTAGAAAACTTAATGATGAGTGGGAACCTACTATAAAGATTAAAATGAAAGATTATGAGTGTTTTGCTTTGTAGGATTTGGGTGCTAGTGTTTCCACAATTCCGAAAACTTTATGTGATATTCTAGGTTTCCATGATCTTCATGATTGCTCTTTTAATTTGCACCTTGCGGATTCCACCATTAAAAATCCTATGGTAAGGATCAATGATGTTCTTATTATTGCAAATAGGAACTATGTTCCCGTAGATTTTATCGTTCTTGACATTGATTGCAATCTTTCATGTCCTATTATTCTTGGTAGACCTTTCCTTACAACGATTGGTGCGATTATTGATATGAAGGAAGGGAATATTAGATTCCAATTTCCATTAAGGAATGGCATGGAGCACTTTCCAAGAAAGAAAGTCAAATTACCTTATGAATCTATCATGCAAGCTACTTATGAATCAAATGCCAAAGATGGCACTACTTAGATCTATCCTCGCTTTTATGCCTAGCTTGGGGCGTTAAACAATAGCGCTAGTTGGGAGGCAACCCAATTTTATTTTAGTTTCTTTGTTTTTGCTCCTATTTAGTAATAAATTTTTCATCTACTTTCTGTTTAGATGTGATTTCTTGTTTTAATTAGTTTTTGTGCCAAGTAGAACCTATAGGATAACCTATGGTAAGAGCTAATTTGATTCTGCTGAAAAACAAAAACTTTGCGCTCAAGAGAACAAATTCAATAAATCACAGAAACGTGCTTTTGCCTTGATTCATTTTTCTGTAGCTCGATAGACAAATTGCCCAGGACTTCCTATTTTGGTAGGATTTGTGGAG